AACCCAAAACCGTAAACCCCACAACCCCAAAGTCTAACCCTTTGTTCCCAGTGACCTCAAGTCTAGCCTAAAACCTGCACCCTCAACCCTGAAGGATGCAAAACTGGGACGGACCTCCTCAGGCTGCGCCTCTGCCTCGGTGGCTTTGGCTTCGGCCTGCCACTGGAATTTTGTGATTCTCGCACCCTTGAGGGCTTTGAGTTTATGGTTTAGGGTTTGGGAAGGTTTAAAGAAGGCTTATAACAGCAACTATGATGGTCATGAAACATAAATATCATCACAACCCCTATATAAGCAGACGAGGCCCATCAAGCACCTGGAAGCCCAAAGTGCGCAGGACCATCCTGCAACAACACAGTTGGAAAACAGTAATATTGGCGCCTGAATGTGTGAATTGTTTCGTGAGGAAGTTGTATACTACAGTTATATAACAAGGAACACCGGAAGGAATATGTTGTTTCTGGTTTCTTCCTTACCTAATGAGGGCCAACAGCAGATTGAAACGCCTTGAAACACACGATCCTGGGTAAATCGCATGCTCCACCCCAAGTGTGCCGAGACTGTCCGAGACTCTACCAAACAAAGTCCATCTCGACAAGACTTCATATCCCCAAGGCAAAGAGTCCAAGTACCTCATAATCATATACTCTTCCAAATACTAACCTACATAACGACTGTCTGAAACCCCACGTATTGGGTTCTGCGAACCCCAAGGGATATGTAGTAGCTAAGAATAGAGCACCACATGTCAATTGCTGACTCACAGATTTCGAGGCCCGAACGTGGTCAATGTATTGCAGTCTAATTACAGCTTTTCGGGGCCCTAAAACTAGACAAAAACTTTTGAACCCTAAACCCTGCGGCGGGCGGTATCCTCTGTAAATCATATGGCGCAAGGCGGTGCCCGCCCCAGGAAACCTCCAATCGTCGTGGGAGCGTCGCGGCCACACTGCCCAAGTCTCTTTACTGCGCAGTAGTACAGCGCAATGAAGGCCCCCGTGCTAAAACACAATGCGGGAAGCTTGGTGGCAAAGCACATGCTTCGAAGAGCATCACATGGCCGCCCGCAGCAAAACTAGTCGTCGGACCTTTCAGGTGAGCCTAGCCCTTTTTGGACAATCCTCGACACCGAATCCTAAACCCAATGCCCTGTAGGTCTCAGACACTAGACTTCAAACTTTCAGTTTGTCCCGACGTCCCGCTAAATTAAATTACTATACGGGCCTTGAGAATTGAAACAGGGCTTCGGGGCACATTATAGCACGGCCCAACTTAACGCAAGGAACTCTAAAGAATGTTATCGGTGGTTATAACGCTTCCCTGCTACACAGAGCCCCAAACCCACCCTAAACCCTAAACCCATCCAGGCCTCTTCTGGCTGCTTCTCCTTCTCGGCTTCTTTGGCTTCGGCCTTCTCTACGGCTCAGACTTGAGGTGGTTTAGGGTTTAGGGTTTAAGAAGGTCTAGGGTTCTTGTTGAGGGCTTTCGGGTTTTGGCTTCAGGGCTCCCTTTTTTCGCCTCCTGCATTGCTGAACAAGTCGCTAAGCAGGGAACATAGAAGACAACTGTATAAATTCGCATACGGCACCGCCTCCACGACTCCATACCGATCCTGAAACAAAGGCTGAGTTTCAGGGTTTGCAAGGGTGGAGTCGCAGAAGCCATGTGGCATGAAAGTGTACACTTTCATGCCGGGCAAGGAATCACCATTGGCCTGCACTCGGCTTCCTCAAACTACTGTACACAGAGCCCGGGTCAGGAATGACATAGCCCTGAAAGGAGTTTCGTCCGGATAGAAGCATCGGAATACCTAATCAATGTGTATCCATTGTAGGTCCCTATATAGACGCATACTACAATTACAATGAGCACCAAAACCCTATTCCAATTACTGGGACACCCCCCCCCCCCAAATATTTACGTCATGCTATTACCGATCCAAGGCTTCATCATTTGCGACACAGAGCTTGCAAAGCACAACGTAGCTGCTCGTCCAATTCAACCACAGTCTGTGGCTTCGGTTATGGAAGCTCCCCAAGAAGAGCGAATACCCCAAGGACTTTATGTGACCCTCCCCCCCGGTGCGACCGCCATGCCCCCTGTTTCACTTCACATTTGTTGTTGCTACTTAGCCGTTGGAGACAGGGATCACACACACTCTAGGGCATCAGCTGGCAGCTTGGCAGATTACACATGCCAAACCTTAAATCCCGACACACATCCTTCATTGCGATGATGTAAGGTGTCCGATTGACATTAACAGGTTTTTTTTGGTACACTTGAAAAACAGACACACGAACCTGGAAAAAACCCCATCCACTATGGAAGATGACAAATTACTAGCCACCCGAAATCTCGATGACCCAAGCTCTGCTCGCGGCGCAGTCCTTCCCCTTCAGGAACTGATGCCACGGCTCTTCATTAAGGGCTTAGACTCGGAGTTAAATGGCTCAAAACGGCCTGAGTAGGGGCAGAGTCCCACTCCTTGGGCCCAACCCTTCTCCAGTCGTAATGCTTCAGGCAGGTTAGTATAAATCCGGATTCCGGGTCGATGCTGCTTTGCTGAGGTAGCTATAGGGGTTTTGGGATTCGGTGTTTAGGTGCTAAACCCTAAACCGTAAACCCCTAAACCCTAAACCCCTAACCTTTTTGCATCCAGGACTCTCTAAACCCCTAACCCAAACCCCTAAACCCCTAAGCCCTAAACCCCTAAACCCCTAAACCCTTAACCGTGGTATAGGGTCTAGGGGACCTGAGCAGCACCGGCCCGATGCCTTGGGCAGTTCCGTTTCGACACGTCAAGTGTTAGAGCACGTGAACGACCCCATCCCGGAGGGTCCAAAGATACCTACCATTTATGGAAGTAGGCCCCTAAAGACCATTCTAGTCAAGGTTTTGGGAGGTCTATTTCCAGAATGGTAGTGTATTTGGAGCCTCTGGGGTCACTGTCTGAGCCACGAAGTTCTCGCGTAGGGCTACAGAGGGATTCAGAAAACCATCACAAGACACTTCGATTTCCCGTGTGTCCTGTGCAAACGAACGCAGAGATGTGCGCAAGCAAGATCTCGATTCCAGAACCACCTTCTTGGCAGTTGCATTGGCGACCAGATGTCGCAAAGTATGGACATTTCCAAAGATGTCCATCGTAGACAATCAGAGACCCACCGGTAACGATAAGTGGAACTACATGATCCCCAAAGCTGCAATTGGGTATGACCTCGTGAAGGTGAAGCCCTATAGTACATAGCATAACGCATATATATATATATATACATATTAAAAATCAATATTAAATTTGTGCATATACATATCTATATATATATATACATATATATATAGAGAGAGAGAGAGAGTATATGTTCAACTCGCTTGCTCTACCGGTCTCACTATGGACGCACGCCTTCCACCGGTCTCGCTGCAACGGAAGACCTGGAGTCCAGCAACTGTGCCGACCTACTTAATGCAGGGGCCTTAATAATTAGAATAGGGTTTTGGGGGGGTTCTTATTACAGTTATAGTATAATATACCCCCAAGCCCTATTCTAACTATTAAGGCCCCTATATTACAGCTTTTTTCGCTGCCCCTGCCTGGGGGTCCATGGGTAAGTAGGAGTTACAAGTAGGGTAACGATCGTTAAAACCAATATTAAGGGGCTTACAAACCCCACTTACTTAAAACTACCCATGAACCTCCAAGTGTTCCGTCTCGCATTCACCGACTTTGAGAGTGTAGGCCTTTGGGTTTGACATTTCGCCAGAAGATCGCACAATGGCACGATACAATCTTAAGAGACAGGCAGCTGGATACCATCTGCATGAGACGGCGGTTAAGGCCGCTCGTCGCACCAAAACAAAAAAGGCCCCATGCAAAAAACGAAAATTGGCTTCTGTACTTCGGCTCACCACCAAAAAGATTGTCACAGCGCGGCTTGCATCCCGCTGCAAGGCTATGAGACTTAACTCCGAGCTTAGATACCTAGGCGGGCTGGCTTTAGCTGACCGGAAGGCTGTGACCATCGCGGCGGAAGCCCCTGTGTAGGGGTACAAGGTTAACAAAACTTGACGCCGACCTAGTTGTCGACGCCAAGCTAAACCTTTCTGGACTATATCGAAATTGTACTACCCAACAGGTTCAAAGGTACCTGCTCGACTAGCAGTAAGCAGTAGGCCGAGCGTGTTGGAAAAAGCCTGGCCCTCAAAGCCCCCGGTATGGCACCGTATGCAGAATTTGGTGACCAACTCAAACTCGGAAAACCCTTTTTGCAGCAGGCTTCTGTGGCCCGGAACTGCCGTGCCCTAAACCCTCAACCCTAAACTATGGAAATTCTTCATTAGAAACAGTACCGCCCGGGTGTTGATGGGCTGCGCCCAAAGAGCTCGAATTTTGTTTTATATATGCAGTCGACTTGCACAACCCTACTCTATAGGGCTGTCTGTCGGCTGCACTCTGCAGGCAGACTGCGCAGCTGTTGCCATCACTGTGCCGGAGCGTCCAGCCGGCACATCTCAACAACCATCAGTGCAGGAGAAGGCAGGAATTGCACCGTGAAAGTTTGAGAACAACAGGATGCTTAGATTAGGTGTGAGAGGGTGGGGCCTTGGAGTTCAGAACCACACTTTGAGCGAGGCAATGAGTGCTTCATGGCAGGCAGATACACCTCCTGACTTGCAACCTCCATCAGCCACCGTCTCCAACCACAGGCATGGCCGGGACGTGCTGGGCCAAAGAAAACTGACATACCATATGTTCGCTCTCTCTCTCTCTCTCTCTCTCTCTCTGTATATAGTATCCTATGTAGTTATGCTATGTACATGAATACCACAGATATAAGCACTATGTATATATGTACATATTCTCTATGACCAAACATGCGCGGCATAAATATGTACGAATGTTTGTGTAGATAAATTATATAGATATAGATGCAGTAGATTTAAATATAGATACTACAGTGTGCTGCGCAGCCCCGGAGCCATCAGCAAAGCAGTCTTGCTGCGGCTCAAGTGTTGAATTCTATGTTCCGCATGGCTCCAAGATCATCGGCGAGCCGCTCGATGCATGTCACCATAAGCTCACGAAACGCGCCACGATTCGCCTTTGATACCTTGGCTGCTGACGAAGATGAACTTTGTAATCACGGGAGGGCTCTGTGAATACCGAAAGCTTAGAGGTTACTCGGCTACTAAGGGGCAGAGACGAGGGCCAGTTGGCGGAAAGGCATGCGGACTAGCACCCGCTCAAGACGTCGTGCGCATTCAAACGTGACCTCCTCAACGGCATCATGCTTCATGGCCTCCTTCGCCACCAAGTCCAGGATGTCCTTCGCGAGATGCAGGAAGCCATTCGCTTTTGCGTTCATCCTGAGGATGCTCTGAAGCAGCAAAAGCGCTTCACGCTTGCCCATCAAGTGCAACTTCGTGCGCTGCTGCTTGTCAAGTGTGGGAAAGCCATCTGCATGCGGCATGTGGCAGAAGTTGCACTGTGCTCCCACGGTGCAATTGCCAGACGCAAAGTAGATGCACGGGCGCTTGCAAAGGTGTGGGTGCCCCCTGCTCCCACAACTTGCCGCCGCCACAAAGACCGCAGGATGATCTCCAGCCTTGTCGGCGACAGCTTCTTCACCGTGAGTGGGA